AGGTTGGTCTGGGATACTTACAGGGACCCTGACTTAAAATAAAAGATGAAAAGAAGGGGTGGGGTTTGTAGCTTAGTTGGTAGGATGTAAACAGTAAGCAGGAGGCCCTAGGGTTGACCTTTAGTATCACAGAAAACAAACAAAATTAAGCTAGATGGCACAGGACTATAATGGCCACACTTAGAAGATGGAGGCAGGAGTTCAAAGTCATCCTCAACTACATAGAGAGTTAGAGGCCAGCCTGGGCTAAGTGAGACTGGGTCTCGGTTGGTCAGTTAGTCATTAAGTCATTCATTCATTCAGTCAGTCAGTCGTCAAGGACTGGGGATGTAGCAGAGCACCAGCCTAGTGCCAGATATGAGGAGGAAGGCAGCTTCTTTTCAGATAGCCAGACAGGAGAGAGAGGTCCAGCAGAGTGAGTGCCCCGCAGACAGGAGGCAGCAGCCTATCTCAGAGGAAGGAACATCTACAATGTGGCAGAACCAGCTCGGAACCCTTCACAGACAGTGAATGCAAGGGCGGGACTCAAAGCTGGAAATTTAACTCAGAAGCTGTGCGTCTTAGGTTTTTATTTTTTATTATTATTAGATTTTTTAAAATTAGATTTATTCATTTTTTTATTTGTGAGTGTTTTGCCTGAGTGTATGTTTGTGATCTTAATCACTGAGCCATCTCTCCAGCTCTGTTTATTATTATCATTATTTTCTTTTTTTGGTTTTTCGAGACGGGATTTCTCGGTGTAGCTTTGGAGCCTGTCCTGGAACTCATTCTGTAGACCAGGCTGGCCTCGAACTCACAGAGATCCTCCTGCCTCTGCCTCCCGAGTGCCGGGACTAAAGGCATGTGCCACCACCGCCTAAGTTTTAAAAGGCCGTGACTCACCAAGATGACTATCAGCTTTGCTCTGAAGGCCACTGACCACCGGCCCTTGCTCTCCTCGCTTCCTGGTCCCACCCTCAACCCCAGTGAAATATCTTGGGCTTTATCTTTTCCTGGGCTTGCCCCTCCTATTTTATCTCCTAACCAACCAAAGTCCCCTACAGTCTACCAGACAGAAGTCTCTCAACCCAATTCCTAGTTTACACACAGGCCAGAGCCAATCAGGCTCATGCCCTGGGCAGAAAAGGACCCAGGCAAGAAGGCTTGGCTAGCAATTCACTCTTGAGTCCCCTTGCAGGTTACTGAAAGCTGCTTCCCACCGTCATTAAGACTCGCCCTCACTCTGCTATCCTTCCTGGCCATTCTTCAAGATGATGAGACAATAAACCCGGGCGCAGTGGGTTCAGAAGGGTGAGTTTCAGGGACACTGCTGATTTCCCCTTTTCCATGCTAACTGAAGCCCCCTGAGATATAGGTTCTGTCACGTCAAAGAACCCTGCAACAACAGCATACATGAGGGCCTAGCCTTAGTCCCTAGTAGCACACATAAGTGTACACACACACACACACACACACACACACACACACACGCACGCACGCACGCACGCACGCACGCACGCACGCACGCACGCACGCACACACGCACACACGCACGCACGCACGCGCTGGGAGTCAAAGGTAGCACTTCTCTTTAACCCCAGCTCTTGAGAGGCAAAGGTAGGCATAGCTCTGAGTTTGAGGCCAGCCTGGTCTACATGGAGAGTTCCAGGCTGGTCACACAGTGAGAAACTGTTTCAACAAAAGCAAACAAAACCAAACACCAAGAAACTTACTGAAGGCGTGAGCAGTAACTGTGCCAGGCCCCCTGCTGGCAGCTGGATGGGTTTTAACACAGGGGCGGCGCCTGCGTGCTCAGTGACCTTTCCTAGTGGATTCTGTTGTGGCCTGTGACCTTGGTCTTGCTGAGATGCTTCAAAGCCTTATTAAGAATGTCTGGGTCCCCATGAAACCCTACTATACCCAGGCTTACCAGGAAATTTGGGTAGGAATGGGGTTAATGACCTTCATCGTTTATAAAATCAGGAGTGCTGATAAAAGAAATAAAGCTTTGAAAGGCTCCAGTCCTGCACCTGCCCAAGGCCATCATTAACCGATCGCTGAGTCCACTCACGATGAATCCCGTCAGCTAAACCAAAGCAAGCTGTGTTAGATGGGAACAGGGAACATCGCTGTGCACTTACCTAAGTACCATTTACAACGAGGCATTAATAAATGTATGTGAGCAGTACCGCTCCCTGCGGATCCTCCTCCCTGCTTCCCCTGAATAAGTCCTCCGTAGTGCAGAGGCTCCATCAGAACCTCTGAGCCACCCTCCATGGGAAACCGAGGAAGGAGCAGCAGTGTGTGCTGCATAGAGATTGGTCATTGGTGTCTAGATACAAACTGATTCCAATATTCTATAATTGTTCATTAAACAGTTTTGTCTCTGCCTAGCATCTTGCTTCTCTGATCTTGTTTTCATATTTTGGGAAAGAAGATGTTAATTATCTTAAGGGCTAACGTAAATTTTTTATGAGGGTCAATAAGAAGGTAAGGGGAAAACAAAACATTAAATTGTGAAATGCTGAAATAAGAGCATGAAACAAGCTTGGTGGCACACCACTCATCCCAACCAGAGCAGGGAGGAGCACAAGTTCTGGAGTTCAAAGCCAGCGTGAGCTGCTGAAACCCTGTCTCAAAAAAGTGTTTAAAAAGTAAATGGAAAGGGGCTGGAAGATGATCCACATCAAGCAGCTTACACATACTTGCTGACTCCGGCTCCAGGGGATCCAGCACCCGATTTCTCTTTGGGCATCCATATACATATAACACGCATACATACCCATTAATAAATATTACAATGGAAAGAAAAAGGATTTAAGGCAGGGCTGGAGAGATGGCTCAGAGGTTAAAAGCACTTGCTGCTCTTGCATAGGACCCAGGCTTGGTTCCCAGCACCCACCCACATGAGGGTTCATAACCATCTGTAACCCCAGTTCCCAGGGATTCAAAAGCCCTCTTCTGACATCCCTGGCACCAGGCATGCATGCAGTGCACACACATGCATGCAGGCAGAACATGCACACACAAAAAATAAACTTGTTTTGTTTTGGTTTTTCAAGACAGTGTTTCTCTGTGTAGCCTTGGCTGTCCTGGAACTCACTCTGAAGCCCAGGCTGGCCTTGAACTCACAGAGATCCACCTGGCTCTGCCTCCTGAGTACTGGGATTAATGTGTGTGTGCTACTACACTCAGTTTAAAATAAATAAGTCTTTTAAAAAATTAAATAAGCCAGGTGTGGTGTCACACACCTTTAATCCCAGCGTTTGGGAGGCAGAGGCAAGTGGGTCTCTGTGAGTTCAAGGTTAGCCTGGTCTACAGAGTGAATTCCAGGACAGCCACGACTACATAGTGTGATCCTGTCTTGAAAAAAACAGAACTAATAATAATAATAATAACAATAATAATAAATTAAATAAATAACTTATCAGCCAAACATGGTGGCCCAGGCCTGTGATCCCAGGACCTGGGAGTGGATGGAATTTAAGGCTTGTAGGCATCAAGGTTAACCAAGAGGTCACCTGTCAAAAGGACTGTTGTTGATTGGTTAACTTTTGGCTTCAGGTTTCTGGGTGTGGCTGTTGACTTCTGTCCGAATCACCTGAGTAACTACAGGAAACTTGACCCTTCTGAGAACAGGCATTCCTGCCGGGTTCCTCAGGGAACACTCAAGGCAGTATCAAGGCTTCCCTGGGCTTTCTAGATTCCTTGGGAGTTATGAGGGAGGAGATGAGGCTGACATACAGAGCCATACAGACCCAGGTGCAAATTCTGGCCCAACAACTGAGTTGCAATGAAGTCTTGGGCAAATCAGACCAAAACTCCCTTCATCTCCTGCTCCTGCTGCCCTCCCCACCCCCAACCAGCCACCCTAATAAAAAGAGAAAAAAGAAAAGAATAAAGTCCAGGACCCACGACTCAGGTTTGGCCAGAAGGCCAGATTCTGCTGCAGCAGGTAGCTCAAGACCAGCTACCTCCAGCATCTCCACAGCCAAGGGGTTCTATGGCAAAGCCTAGACTCTGTGGCTATGTGTTATTTCTGAGGGTCTTTTGTGGTTACAGCTCCAAATAGCTTTTCATTCCTCATTTAAACTTCCTGAACTTTAGAGAGGCCCAGATATAAATTATAGCACAGTTTGAGTGTCTTTAATCTGGCCTGACACTCTTGTATCCATCGTGTGTGTAACCAGAGGGGGCTCTTAGTAAACTTAGGTAAACAGAGAACTGAGGAAGGCCTCTGGATGTTGGACACCTGGCCCATGTTTATGCTGGAGCAGGGTATCCTGAACATCTACATTGACTGGACCACCAAGGAATGGGCCTTCAGGAACTAAATAAACTGGAGATGCTGTTGACTCTAAAGAAATGGAAGATTTGAGAATGGCTGAAACAGCCTCAACTGGAAGACTGTCCAACGGTTGCTTGAGAAAGCACCAGCAGCTAAGACAGGGATCTGGCCTTCAGCAGGAGCAAACCACATCTACAGAGTTTGGTAGAAAGGAAATGTAGCTCTGGCCCCTAACGTGGAGATGTCCACATGGAGTCCACACAGCCCAGAACTCAGGGCAGTCTGTAGACTTCATTAGATCTGAATCATAACCATAAAGAAAGAAAGATGTGCACGTGCATGTGCACACATATAAATACATAACACACTCCACACAACCTCACATGTACACACACACACCAATGACATTTATAATAACCATTGAAGCTGAGGGATAGGTATGGTGGTTCAGTTTTGCTCTTCCTTTTTTTTTTCTTTTTCTTTCTCGAGACAGGGTTTCTCTGTGTAACGGCCTGGCTGTCCTGGAAATCACTATGTAGACCAGGCTGGCCTTCCTCTTCCTCCTGTGCTGGGATTAAAAGTGTGCACCAATGCTACCTGGTTTTTTAAAAAAATTCCTGCATATGTTTATGTTTTTCTATATGAAAGTAAAATAATGTCCAAAAAAAGAAGAAAACGAGATTTTTTTCAGATGTTTGTATCAAATGCTTCATTTTTCTTACATGTCATCAATTGTTTAAAAAAAAGCCACATGATCATATTTGAATTACAAGCTTGCGGTACAGTTTTATGTTGTTAGGCTTTAGAAGGCTCTTGTTGTCTGGTTCTGAGCAGCCTCACACTCCTGTGTGGTTCACTTTGTAGTTCACTCAGGATTCCCGGCCTTTGCTTCCTGAATGCCAGACTTCCAGGTATGTGCTTTCATGCCTGTTCACTTCGTTTTTTCTTCAAGTTTCTTGGCACCTTTCCCAATTCTTTTTGAGAGAAGAAGTGTATGTTTCTTGACTCTAAGAGGAAGAGTTTCTTACACGATATATTTCTTTGTCTTAACAGCATTATTATGGGAGCTTTCTGTTTTCTTGTTCTGATTGAAATCGAATTCAGCTCCTACTATAAGGTTTCTTTCAGTTTGTGTCTGCGCTGGTTACATCGTTCTTTGGTAACTATGTATCTCAGACTAGAATCCACAGAGGCAGTACCTGCAACAGTGTATTTGTTTCCTGTTACTGTAACAAAACGCCCGAAGCCGGTTGTTTTATAAAGAAGCTTGTTTAGTTCACAGTTCCGGAGCTTCAAGAATGTGGTGCTGTTTGCAACAGTTCTGCTGAGGACTTCCAGGCAAATGGCCTCACAATGATAGGAATGGGGGGGGGGGGGGAAGAGCGATCACCTGGAAAAGCAGAAAGCCAGAGTGACTTGGGGCTCAGGCTCTGGCTTTTACACATAACAACGCACTCTTTGGAAATCTAAGTAATTTAAGGCCCTTTAAGAAATTCTTCAACTTTTTTGAGAACGATGATCTAACCACCCCCACTAGGCCTCATCATCTCCCAACATGGCCACACTAGGCAACCAACTTCCCTATCTTGAACCCTTGGGGAACACCCTCAAACCACATAGGAACCATAGGAAGGGACGATAGTGAGGGGAGCTGAGGACATGGTAACAGGGGAGGAGGGTGAGATGGAGGACAGAGCTAAGAGGGAAGTATTTTCTCCTGGAGACAAGCTTCAGCCTGGTCCTGAGAAATTCTAGTTTGTCACACCTGGAGACAGGGCCAGCGACAGTAGCAGGCCTTGGAGAACTAGGCCCAGCGGGGGTCTGATTGGTCCACCAGTGCCAGCTCCAGCACCATCCACACCTACCCACAGATCTCAGACCTGACTAGCACCGCTTTGCCTAGAGAGCTTGCTCACATGCAGGTGGCTGGGCACACTTCCACAGTTTCTGACTCAGAGGGGTGGGGGTGCTGAGCATATGCTCTTCTAGTATGTTCCCAGGTTCTCCCAGAACTATACTTTCCAGGCAACAGTCCACTGATTCCTCTCCTTTGATTTCTTTAATGTTATTGTTGCTGTAATAATAATTAATAATAATTATTATTATTTTATTTAATAATGATTATTATTAATGTGTTTGTTTACTTGGTATGTATGTTTGGGCATGCACACTCATGCAATGGTCCATGTGTGAGGGTTGGAGGGAACTTGGAGAAGTCAGTTCTCTCGCGCCCTGTAGTGTCTAGGATCGTCAGGCTTAGGGACAAGCACCTTGATCTGACGGGCTGTCTCTCCTGCCCTTTCCCTTTGCTTTCCTGGACTACAAACTCAAGGTAACTTTTGCAACTAGAGTCTAAGTGGAGCTAAATAGAACGGTACACCTTCAATCCCAGTATTTGAGAGTCAGAGGCAGGAGGATTTCTCTGAGTTCAAGGCTAGCCTGGAGAGAGAGAGAGAGAGAGAGAGAGAGAGAGAGAGAGAGAGAGAGAGAGAGAGAGAGACAGAGAGCCACTGCCCAGCTCCTTTTTTTTTTTTTTTTAAATTTATTGCTAGGCGGTGCTATTGCATGCCTTTAATCCCACCTAGCACTTAGGAGGCAGAGGCAGGCAGATCTCTGTGAGTTCGAGGCCAGCCTGGTCTGCAGAGAGAGTTACAGGACAGCCAGGGCTATACAGAGAACCCCTGTTTCAAAATACAAATAAACAAGCAAACAAATAAATAAATAAGGAATTTAAAATTTAAAGTTAAGTGAAAGAAATATCTGACAGTTTTGTAAAGCATTAATCGAGTTTTTCTTTTCTTTCTTTCTTTCTTTTTTTTTTTTTTTTTCCGTTTTTTTGAGACAGGGTTTCTTTGTGTAGCCCTGACTGTCCTGGAACTCACTCTGTAGATCAGGCTGGCCTCAAATTCACAAAGTATGCCTGTCCCTGCCTCTGCTTCCTGA